TATTTTTAGTTGTCCAGATAATTTCTTTCTATTTTTAGTAGAGACAGGGTCTCGCTCTTGCTCAGGCTGGTCTTGAACTCCTGACCTTGAGCGATCCGCCCTCCTCGGCCTCCCAGAGTACTAGGGTTACAGGCGTGAGCCACCGCACCCGGCCCTGTATGTCTGTCTTTATTACAGTATTACACTATCTCCATTATTATACATTTATAGTAAGTTTTCAAGTTGGGGAAGTGTCAGGCCTCCAACTTTTTCAGGGTTATTTTGGCTATTCTCGGCCCCTTGAATTTTCATATGAATTTTTTGGTTCAGCTTTTATATAGATTTTTTTAGTGATTGCTCTAGTTGTTACATTATACATATCACAGTCTACTGATATTTATGTTTTACCAGTTTGAAGAAAGAGTTGAAACCTCTTTTTATGTCCCCTACCCTTCCCATTTTCTTAAATTTTCTGACATTTCACATGTATTTGTCTTAAATATTTCTTCTGCATACATCAAGAGCCACATCACGCAGTGTTAGAATTTTTGCTTCACCTGTTCAAACATAATTTAGAAAACCCAAGAGAAGGAAATTCTATTGTATTCACCCATATTTTTACTCATCTATTGTTTTTTTCCCCCTGGTGTTCCAAGATTCCTCCTTTTATCATTTTTTTCCATTTAGAGTTTCAGGGTAGATCTGCGGGCAACAGATTCGCTTAGTTGTCCTTCATCTGTAAATGTCGTAATTTTCCCTTTGATTCCTGAAGGATATTTTGCTGGATATAGAATTCTGGGTTGATACTTCTTTTTTCAACACTTGAAGAGTGTTGTGCTGTTTCTTTCTGGCTTCCATGGTTTCTGATGAGATTTGGCTGTCATTTGAATTGTTTTTTTCCCCCTATAAGTAATTTGTCATTTCTTGCTGCTTTCAATATTTTTCTTTTTCTTTAGTTTTCTGCAGTTTGGCTATGTTGTGTTTTGGCACAGATTTCTTTGGGTTTATAGCACTGAATATGTTCACCGAGCTTCTTGAATGTGTAGGTTTATGTCTTTTGCCATATTTGTTAAGTCTTTAGCCATTTTTTTGTTTCGGGTGTGTTTCTAATTGCTCATTAAAGCATTTTTATGATGGTTCCTTTAAAATTCTTGTTATATAATGCTAACATCTCTTTCTAACATTATATTTTATAATTTTAGATTTTCTGTTCTGTTTCACAGGTCTGTCTATTCATGCATCAATATCACTGATTTGATTACATTGGTTTTCTAGAATGGTTAATATATTTTGCGACAAGTCATCCACTCCCACCTGAATCCCTACCCCCATCTGCTTTTCTCTTTTATAGTTTTCTATTCCCAGGCATTAATTCACCCACCTTTGAATCCTGTGCCAGGTCTAACATAATGCCTTTTCTGTACTGGGCAATTAATAACTGTTTGGTGAACTGAATTTGCCTACTAGAGGTTTGAGTTAGATTAATTTACATCTCGGTAGAAATGCCCACACACTGGGTACATTTACTTAGTTCCTCCACAAGTGTCAAGTGTCTACTGTGTGCCCCAGCTTTGGGCTAGGTGCTAAGCACAAACGATCAATAAGCCTTTTCAGCATATAATGTTTTAGTAGCCACAATAGCACCAATAGAGGTATTCACCAAAAGTTTTGGAAGGATAGAGAAGAGCACTTAGTCTAGCCAGAGGTTTGTGAAAATCTTCTCAGAAGAGTAACACTTGAATGGTGAGTAGGGATTGACCAAGGAAAGAAAGGCAGGGAAGGCATTTCAGACATAGAGAAAGGCATAAGCAAACTGAGGCTGTGTGAAGTAGCTTATCGATACTAGAGTCTAAAGAACAAGGGCTGAGGGTGGGAGATGGATGAAGCCGAAAAATCGGTCGATGAAGGTTTATTCCGTATCTTTTTTTTTTTTTTTTTTTTTTTTTTTTTGGTGATAGGGTCTCGCTCTGTTGCCTGGGCTAGAGTGCAGTGGCATCATCATAGCTCACTGCAACCTCAAACTCCTGGGCTCAAGCAATCCTTCTGCCTCAGCCTCTCAAGTAGCTGGGACTACAGATGTGTGCCACCACACCCAGCTAAGTTTTCTATTTTTTGTAGAGACAGGGTCTTGCTGGATTGCTCAGGCTGTTCTCAAATGATCCTCCCGCCTCAACCTCCCAAGTAGCTGGGACTACAGGCACACACACACCACACCCAGCTTATTAAAAATAATTTTTTTGTGGAGACAGGTTCTCGCTGTGTTGCCCAGGCTGGTCTTCAACTCCTGGCCTCCAGTGATCCTCCTGCCTCGGCCTCCCAAAGTGTCGGGATTACAGACGTGAGCCACTGCACTCGGCCTATTTATTTAGTTTCTAAAGAAATACTTCAGGTGTAGCAAAAGATATAAAGAATAATATAATGAATAGGTGTTCATAACTCACTTAAGATATAAATATTACAGATATATTTGAAGCCTCAAGTAATACCTCTCCTCATTTACATGTCCCTTTTTCTCTCTCAGAGCTAACCATTGTCCTTAAGTTGGTATTTATCATTCTCATGAATTTTATCCTTCTATTACACATGGATATGCCTCGCTAAACAATATATATTATTGTTTTACATGTTTTTGAATGTTACGCAAATGGAAGCATATTGGATGTATTCTTAACTTGCTTTTTTTCTCTGAACATTATGATTGTGAGATCCATGTTGATAAATGTAGCTATAGTTTGTGCATTTTACTTGCTTTCAGGTATTCCATTGTTTGAGCATATGATACTTTATCCATTTTCCTGTGGATAGACATTTCTTTGAAGAGTTACAAGTAAAGGATGACATGAACAGATCTTTATTTTAGACGTATCATTTAGGATTGGATGTGGAGGATAGATTTGAGATTGTCGTAGAGCAGCAATTTGCAAACACTTTGTACTCCTGTATACTCTCAAAAAGTTATTAAGGACCCAAAAGAGCTTTTATTTGGTTTATATTTATCAATATTTACCATATAAATTAAAACAAAATTTCAAAGTATTTATTAATTCATTGAAAAATAATAAGCCCATTACATGTTAGCATAAATAATTTTTATGAAAATTATTTGTAAACCAAAAACATTTAGTGAGAAGAGTGATGTTGTTTTACATTTTTGCAAATCTCTTTTATTTATTTATTTATTTATTTGAGACAAAGTCTGGCTCTGTTGCCCTGGCTAGAGTGCCGTGGTGTCAGCCTAGCTCACAGCAACCTCAAACTCATGGGCTCAGGCAACCCTCCCGCTTCAGGCTCCTCTTTTTTTTTTTTTTTTTTAAAATAGAGAAGGGATCTCATTGTGTTGCCCAGGCTGGTCTCAAACTTCTGGCCTTCAGCAATCCTCCTGCCTTAACCT